CACCTCCTTCCCACACTTATAACACACCCCCAGCTCTGCATGTCCCCTCGTGGCTCTTCCCGCACTTTCCACAAGTGCGGCCCTTCGGACCCCCAGGTCTCGAATCAGCGGGCTTTGCCCGCTTGGCTGCCGGCTGAGACTGTGCCGGTCGCCGATCCACCCTCTGAGACTCGGCCTCCTCCCTGGCCTGCGTCTCCAGCTCAATCTCCCTCTTCCGGGCATTTGCCTGGAGCTCAGCAAATGTCCGATAAGTCGAGTTCGACACGAACTCCCGTATATCCCTCCTCAAAACACCCAAGTACCCGGCTCATACGTGCCTGCTCAGTAGACACCTGCTCAGGGCAGAACATCGCCCTCTCATGAAACTTCCGGGTAACCACAGTAACTGAATCAGTACCCTGTTTGAGGGTCAAGAACTCCTGAGCCAATCGCTCCCTCTCCACCGGAGGAACATACTCATCTCGAAACATCGTGGTGAACCTCTCCCAGGTCACCGCAGTCAGCTCTGCAGTAGTGAAGTCTGCCGTCACAAACTTCCACCAGTCCTTCGCTCCCAAGCGAAGCTGGTTCAGCGCAAACCGAACCCTCAGATGCTCTGGACACGAGCAGGTATAGAAACAACCCTCAACATCAGTAATCCATCTCATAGCAGCAATCGGATCCTGCGTCCCATCAAACTCTGGTGGCTTCGTGTTGCTGAACTCTCTGTACAGCAACGAGTCACCCCCCTGCGGCCTGGCAGCAGCAACGGCTGCGGTGGCCGCAGCAACAGTTGCATCAGTAAGAGCGGCGTACCGCTCATCAAAAGCCTCCATCATCGTGGTCTTGATAGACCCGAACATCTCTGGAATCTCAGCGCGGATGGCAGCAGCCACCTCATCATGAATCATCTGGCGGAGCTCCTCATCGCTCACAACCCCCTCGCTAGTCCCTGGCCGGTGGCGCGTCCCAACCATGATGTCTCTCTGAAATACAACACAAGATATCAGAGACTCGCTCGAGTATACTCGCACTCGATAACTCAACCCTACTTGCTCCTTAGTACCCAATGGATTCTTACTTAGGGTGCATACTGCTTCGGTGTCTTCAGTAGTACGGGCCCTATACTACCGTCCACACCGCATCAACATTCACTCTAAGTCCTCCTCCTTGGATTCCAAATCACAAGTACACTACATCTCACTGGCATAGGCTACCCTTCGGTAGGCCTCCCAACAGCTCTTCACTGCTACCTATTCGCTCGCAAGCATCATATAGCAGCAAAATCATTCCTAGGCTAAGGCATCACAGATCAGGCCACTCTAGTCCTAATATGATCACCTAGCCTACTCTAGCATGCATAATATCTCATAATATCTCATAACACATAAGGTAAGGGTATTTTGGGAAATCACCGTTCGGGCGCTGGCTGATCGTACACACTGCTTCCTTCTGCCTTTCTCAAAATCTTTTATTCTTTTAGAAAAATTGTTTATTTTATGAAAACTTTCTCATCTCCTCAGTTTGAGTTTGGATTCATCCGAAGATGCACCCGAATCCCTCAAACCAAGGCTCTGATACCAACTTGTAACACCCAAATTTTCAAAACAATTTTTCATTTCAAAACATACTTTCCACCACATAAAAATCACAAAATCATAATAAATCTCTGTATCATCACAAAACATGTCCCAAGATCTCATATAAATAAATCCTCTCTCGTGTGTACGAATCATGCCGGCGCCTTCCCGCGATCCTCACTAGTACTTGAAACACATCACACAACAACTGTAAGCATAAAAGCTTAGTGAGTTCCCCAATATACCACATACAACACATACGCCACTCGAGGCTACAATACGACCCTCCGGTCCGATGTGTCTCAGCGGGACCCTCTGGTCCCGTAGCTCGTTGGACCCTCTGGTCCGGTCATAGCTCGTTGGACCCTTCGGTCTGGTCTGTATCGTTGGACCCTTCGGTCCGGTCTATATCGTTGGACCCTTCGGTCCGGTCTATATCGTTGGACCCTTCGGTCCGGTCTATACAAAACATAGCATACATATAACACAATGCACATAATCTCATACATACACATAGCATACAAGACCCTCTGGTCTACACATAAATACCACTCTAGGTAATGTATAGTGAGAAGACTCACCTCGGATGTCTCGGATAATATCCCGCCCGTGTATATACTGATCTAGCCTCTGCCTATACACATAACATAATCATCTCAATCAATCACGACTCTCTAGGCTAGACTAGACTCTCACATGTCCTTTAAGAAGGCTAAAAGGCTATTTTACCCTTCAAACAGTCCACAAGTTCCATTGTTGACCAAACCCAAAAAGTCAACAAAAGTCAACGGTCAACCCTTGACCAGACTCGCCGAGTGCACAAATGTGACTCGGCGAGTTCAGTCGTGAACTCGAGTCCTCTATCCCCCTTCTGACTCACTGAGTCATTCCCCCATTTCGGCAAGTCACTCACTGTGTGATTCACGGGAAACCCTAACCCTACTCGCCGAGTCTGCCCTTGGACTCGGCGAGTTCATGTCATGCACAAACTCAATTGACCTCCTGAGGTCAGATCTGTTCCTTAGAACCATAGATCTGACCTTCCCAAGCCTGATAATCACGTAAAGCTTGGATCTTGACACTCATGTGACGCCTAGGAGGCTTTACTTGGTGATTTAGCCCCAAAAACAACAACCTGAGCTCATTGCCTCCATAACTCAACATAAAGCAAGCTGGAATAAGCTCTTTAGACCACTATGGGTCCAGATCCGAAGTCTCAAAGTGAATAGGGGTCATATTCTCACAACTCCTTCCAATAAAAGACATAAAAACTCTACATCTATGGATTCCTTCAACAAAACAGATAAAGGGGCGACATAATACCTCAAAGATGAAGTCTTTTGCTCGAAATCCCCAGATGCGCAACCTCCTTGGTCCCCTCCAAGCTGGAATCACCTCCTTCTTGTAAGAATCAATCACAAAGATCAAGAAATGGCTCCTTTCCTCTCACAAACGCTCTAGCTCTTTTAGGGTTTCTCTCTGGGGTTTGGTAGCCGCAAGTGACGGCCCTAAGGGCCTTTAAATAGGTCCCAAACCCAAGAAATTAGGGTTTCATTAAACAGCGTGGACTCGCCGAGTCCACGTATGGACTCGCCGAGTCCACGTATGGACTCGCCGAGTCCAGTCATTAATCCAGTCCAACAATGCGCGGCTCTACTCGGCGAGTCTAAGCGCCTACTCGCCGAGTCCCTCTCCAAAACTTAAAAAATAATTAGATAAATACAGTACCTAGAAATCCGGATGTTACATTTTGGCTTGTGTTTCATGATCTATTAAAGTTAATGGAACGAACAATATCCCTTTCAGCCAGAAAAAATGTATCACAAAGCTTGTTAGATGACGTGTTGGTTGTTGCGTCCTTTTCTTATTTGTTCCGGTAGTTATGAGAAGCAATGTTCATACATGATTTCGGTCGAACTCCCACTATCACAGTATATTCTATGAACGCCTACGTCGCATATTTACCCATATATAAGTATCGTTCCATCTTCCTCGTTGTGGGGAATATGGTATGTTTCTCCATTAAACAAATTGTGTAGTTGGTTGGTATCTTTTAATCGTAATGAGTAGTTTATTTGTGTTGCTTTACTGTCCAGCTATCAGGTATTTCTTTTGTTTGTCAATTCGATACCCTTTTTATACGGGATGACGCCAATGTTGATACGACGAACTCCAGGCGTATGCTTAGCTTTTCCACCCGAAAGGGCCTCGCCCAGTAGGCGTTCGGGAATTCACTATACATAAGAATAACAAGAACTAGGTCAAACAACCATACTGAGGGTTAGACCCCGACATAACTCTCCGATACCTAAGTTAGATTGCGACTTTTTGGTGTTGCTTTTGTATTAAGGAATGTGTGTTCTCCTTCCTTACCTCCTTGATTATCATGTCTCTTGGGATATTTATAGGTTGTCCATGGTTAGTAAAACCCATTTCTTAGACCAGTCCTTCACCTATTACCCGGTCTACGAGCAGTCGCACTTCTTGTCCTTTCCTTGCTTATTTTATTTGTTTTGTACTGTGTGACATATTTTCTGGGATACGATTCTCATGCTTGTGTACAATGTATTCGAATTCGTATTTTCCCGAAACAAGTGGCAATGCTTGCAGCGCCGACCTGGTGAGTACCGGACCGATAACGAGTTTCCTCGAACTACCGGCCTCGTACACCATTAGTTTTAATATACAACAAAAACAAAATTAAATGTACATCAATTTATTTTTATTTTCAATAGCAAAATATATAAATAAAAAAACCGGCTTTTTGGTCATTGGATTTTCGAACTCGTTTATTTGAGAACCGTTTTTAGCAAAAGCGTTTTCAATCGGATAAATAGTTTCATAACCTTTTTAAAACAAATTGTTAAAGTTACGATTTAGTTGTTAATCGGATAAATGGTTTCATAACCTTTTAGTTTAACGACAAAGTAAGATATATTATTTTTAAACTTTTTGATTAACATCAAATTAGTTTAACATAAAAAAATATTAGTTTACAACGTTAAATATTGTAAATTAAATTATAACCGAACAATACGTCAAAAAAACAACATTGTATACGAAAAAACATCAAAAATTTAAATAAAACTAAACACAAATAATACGATTATGATCAAAATAATATTATTATGATTAATAATTTAAGTAATTAACATAAAAAACATGACAAGCAAATAATAGTTATATTACTTAGTTTATTTTTCTAAAGAAAAAAGAAAACAAAAAAGATTATTTAAATTAAATTAAAAAAAAAACATAATCATTAGCGGTTCCATGTTTGATGGGACTAGAGGGTTTTTATAAGAATTTTGGTTTTTTTTTTTAATTTATTTATTTATTTTTTTGTTTTTTAAGAAACCGCTTAAAAAAATGAAAGAAAGAAAAAGAAAATTCAACCCAAACACACGTACATGACCAGACCTTGTCTTCCACCCTTTTCTTCTTCATTCTTTATTTATATACCTCGTGAATATCCTAATCTCCCATTCAAAAGCTCTAGATCTCTGTTAATCATCCATAATCACTTTTCACTTTAAGATTGTAGTAGTTTATCTATCTATACACAAATAAAGTTCTTGATGGAGCACTTTCTAGGTTTGCTTCGAGTTCATGTTCACAGAGGCGTAAATCTTGCTGTTCGTGATGTCCGTACCAGTGATCCTTATGTTGTTATTCAAATGGGCAAACATGTACTGATTTCTCTCCGATTTATATATTATTTTACGTATTGCACTCTTATATCCATGATTCGTAGATGACATGATGTTGGAACGCATAAAAAACTAAACAAATTAAGATGTTTTTCGTTATTTTTCGAGCTGAGATAATGTTGATTCTGCTAGAACTTGGTTGTGGTGGTAGTGGTGCCGGCGATCACCGATGGCGGAGTAAAATCGATCCGGTCATCACGGCGTCATTTCATGAATCTATGAATTAATTAACTGTATTCTTTAGAAATTAATTAACTGGTTTTTGCTTTTTATGATTCAGAAATTGAAAACTCGAGTGGTGAAGAAGAACATCAATCCTGTGTGGGATGAAACTTTGACTCTATCGGTTTCTGAGCCTCTACCGGTCAAACTTGTGAGCTCTTACTTTTCGTGATTTTGAACGTAAACTTGTACTCCATGCTGTTTTAGTTGTACATTGGTTGGAAACTAGGGTTTCATTTAATGCATGTAGGAATTAGTCAAAATTAGTCGGGATTTGTTCAAAGTCTTAGGTTTTAAATAAATAAGGGAAATGATTCTTTTATTTAATAAATTAGTTAATCCATATATAAAGTATATATGTTTTAAATTTATATTATAACTGTAAATATAATCTATGTAGATAAATTAATATTTTAAATAGAAAAATCTAACCCCCATAATAATTTGATATGATTTGTGGTTTTTAAAAAGGTTTTATCAACATATTTCCTTTAAATATAAAATATAATGAAACCTTTGTTTCTGATTCAAATTATGGTGGTGCTCAACATGTCTATAGAAAAATAGAATCTTGACAAAGTAAACTCATGTATCTTGTCTTATGATTATTTTATATTATTTTTATTTTTAAATAAATAATAGAGAAGTATTTCGGGTAGGTTGGAATATTTTTTTTCATGTTTTGATTTATTGCTAGTCTATGCCAAATTTGCCACTGACCACCAACTAAAATAGGAAAATGCATATTTAATTTGCCGTAATCATTTGACTAAATACTAGAAAATTTTGATTTAATAAAAATATGAAATTATATTAATATTATTTAAGAAATTGACTTCTAGCAACGGCATTATGTATTGTCTTTTATCCTTCACACCTCATGCAAATATCATCTTAAACATTCTTAAACATAAATGAATTTAAAAGTTGTTTAGAAGAAATTAAATTTGATGTTAAAATATTAAAAATGATAAAGCTTCAAAGATTTACATAATTGTTATAATTATGGATAAATCAATTTTTTAAAGTAATATATCTCCTAGTACCTTTATAGAGGTGCTATATTTCTACCCATGTAATAACATTTTCTATGTAATTTAAAAATGGAAGGTGATTGTTCAACTTAATTTTTTAATTCACCCGCATAAAATAATAAAATATATATTTGATATATAATAATTATGATAATATTTTATTTTATATAAATAAATCAAATTTTAAGTAAAATAATTATTTTACTAATTCAGTAAAACATTTTATTATATTGGTATATACCCATGGATTGTAGTTCTAAATTACATGATGTCATGATGTGACCCAATCGACAAATAATATTGCGCATGTTAGAAACGAATGGTCTTTTGTTTTTTTCTATTTTGTTTTCACTTGGTCATGATTTTATTACGTCACTTTAAAGTATACCATGAGTATCACATGTTAGACATGTGACTAGTTGTATATCGCTTAAGAGAAATTAAATATCGTTTTATACATTTCTCCTGAAGTTTTATAAAACTTTCAAAACTCACCCTTATGGTTTAAAAAATACAGGAAGTGTACGACAGAGATACGTTTAGTCTCGATGACAAAATGGGGGATGCAGTGTTCAACATTCAGCCATTCTTAGAATCTGTCAAAATGCATTTGGACGATCTTCCAAACGGCACGGTCATCACAACTGTTAAACCGGCCAGGACCAACTGTCTGGCTAAAGAAAGCCAGATCATATGGACCGACGGAAAAGTTATTCAAAAGATGATTCTTAGACTGCAAAATGTCGAATGCGGTGAGGTTGAGATTCATTTGTCGTGGATTGATATTACAAGCTCTAGAGGTGTGTAGTTAATTAGTTTGTGGTAGTTCTTGTTGTGTGTTTGTATAATTGTATAATATAGATTCATGAAAGATCTATTAGTTTGTGTTCGTTTATATTTTTATTCGATGGATTTGGTTTTTAATTTTAAGTGGTGTTGTGATGTTATGTATGTAGAATTAAATGAAAATATAAATTTCTAAGCAATTGATAATATTGATAGAGAAACATAAAAACCATGTCTTTCACTTTCTTAAAATTATTTATAAAATTATTTATAGTTATAATATCGAATTTGATGAATAGATATTTAAGCAATATTATCTTCTCATCAACTTCTTCAAGCAAATCTTAACTATAAATGGATAAGTTGTGTCACTTTCAGTTGTGTTACATGTTTTCTCAATAAGTTAACTAGTTATGTTTTATGTTAAATAATAATAATAATAATAATAATAATGTATCTTTATTCGAAATCTTCAGTTGTCATTAGGAACCAATTCAACTGGGTTATGACATAGTTGAGTTATGATAATATCAGGGGCGGACGCAGGAATGCATATTAATTAGGTTTTGTCGATGTTGAAATAGGTATTGCTGGTAAAAGAAAAATAGGTAAAAAAGATCGAAAATCAATTTTTTTTTCACTGCGTTACGTGGGAACAAGATGTTGCTATTGCCACACCGAGCATCTAGGTAAAACCGCCCCTGGATAATATATATTTTTATTTGTCTAATTTAAGTTGTTCTTTTTATATTTTATATGTATACCTAACCATTAATATGGACGGAGTGGAGGCAGGTTGGCCTCTACGTTTGTTGCCGGCAGCTACACCTATGTCCGACACTACAGATTTTGAACGTAAGGATAGTAAAGCCATTGTTCCTTTTTCTCTCTCTTCTTTTTTAACTTTGCTCAATTGTTGCAATATGTGTTTTTTAAAATTATATATATATATATATATATATATATATATATATATATATATATATATCATTCTCAACCTCTTAACAATTGACATATACTTCCACAACTACGGTTGATACGAACCGAACGAACATGATCAAATAAACAAACGAGTTTTCTTGTTCATGTTTGTTTGTTTAAAAATTTACATTGTTCATGTTTTTTTCGTTTATGTTCGTGAACATACTAAATAAACATAAACGAACGTAGATAAATAAACATAATTGAACATATATGAACTTAAACGAACATATAAAATAGTGATGTAATCAAACACAATTAAACATATATGAACATAAAATGAACTTAAATAAACGAATATAAACGAAAAACATAAACAAACGTTTACAAACATAACTGAACGAATGAGATCATTATTCATGTTCGTTCGTTTAGTTAAACGAACGAGAATTTGTGTTCTTGTTCGTTCATTTATTAAATAAACTAACATAAACGAACTTCTCGCCGAACGGTTCACGAACAGTTTGTCGAACGTTCAGCTCGTTTATATTCCTATCCACAACCATCTCAAATCCTAACATATACCATTCCAAAAACTAAAAGACTCTAGCCACGAAAAATCAAAAAATACAAGTTCAAACTATAAAAAAAAAAAAAAAAAAGATTGATATTCACTTAGGTGTTTATTCTTACGGTTAAATGATTGATTCATACAAATAAAAAGCTTTATTTGTTTATTCAAATAAAAGTTTTTTTTTTTATTTTTACGAGAACTATAATATGTTTAGCACGTTGTATTTCTGTATTTTATGTAGGTAAATCAATTTTTTTAAGTGTAAAACGATATCTTATTTATAGAGGTGCAAAATTTATTTCCATATAATACAAAAATAATTTATTATTCTTTAAATTAAAAAATACACTTAAAAATATCATCTTAAGCATATCATGTGCAAACTTTTTATATAGCATTTTTCACTTTGTTTTTTTTAGAACAGCGGCAAATTTTATAACCAAAACCAAAACACTCTAGCAAGAAGCTAGAGGAAAAAACAAATTACATCAGAATTGGGTTTTGCATCCACATCGTCCAACTAATCCCAGCCTTATAATTCCTAGAAGTAAACCAACGGAAAGAAATTTCCACAATAGAGTCAAAAAGTCTATCTTTTCTAGGCTTAGAACTACTAAAAAGTAAAGCATTATGATACGTCCAAAGCACCCATATAACGACCATAAACACCGCTTCAACAATCACTCGCTCCATACGAGCTATAGGTCTAACATTCATCCACTCCAACATAACACTAATAGAGGAAAAATCTGGAATATCCAAATCTAACCAATGACCAACCCGTCTCCAAACCTGGACTGCATCCGAACAAAACAAAAAAAGATGATTTACACTTTCTTGTGAATTATGACACATCGGGCACATCAAGGAATCTAACTCCACCCCCTTTCAACCAATTTGACTCTAACCGACATACGATCCAAGATAACTCGCCACAGAAAAATATTTATTTTAATTGGAACAAATCGGTTCCATCTAGTAGGAAAACTACCTAAAGGTAGTCTCATAACATCAACCCAATTCCTTGTAGAACTAACAGAAAAAATACCCGAAGGATCTAAATCCCAAATGCACTTGTCAGGCAACACCCCTAACCGAATAGGAGACAAAAGTTCCACAAGATCATCAAATTGAGTCGATTCAACCCCTCCTCTAATCCCACGCCTCCAATGGAATTTCCAACCTACTGAAGACCAAAACTCACTAACCCAAGCATCTTGATTGGTAGCCAAAGAAAAAAGTCTTCCGAATCTCAACATAAGAGGACGATCTGAACACCAGGCATCCTTCCAAAACCTAGTATGTACCTCATCTCCAACAACCCTATGCAAATAATTAGAAGGGATAATACCCCTCTCATGAAGTTGGTTAATAAAGCTGACAATTTTATTCCAAACCCCTCCTCCATAACCTAATCTCTGCCCATCCAAAAAACCACCACCATCTCCATAACAAAATTTAATAATTTTAACCCAAAGAGCACCCAGTTCATTAAGAAAACCCCACTTCCATTTATAAAGAAGAGCTAAGTTAAAAGCATCCAAACTACTAACCCCAGACCTCCCTGCGCATGAGAGTTTAAAATCAAATTCCAATTAACCAAATGAATTCGATTTTGGCCTTCTTCCATACCCCCAAAAAATCGAGCCCTTAACGCCTCAAACTGACGACACACAGTAGCAGGAAGACGAAAAAAAGAGAGGAAAAAAATACCCAAACTCCCCAGAACAGATTTAAGAAGAGTCAACCTGCCTCCAATAGACAACAACTTCACCTTCCAAGAAGCTAACCGCTTCTTAAAACGATCAATAATAACTTGCCATCCTTTAATACGCGTCATAGATTCTCCAATCGGAATACCAAGATAGACAAAAGGAAAAAAACCAGTCGAACACCCAGTAAAAGAAACTAAGCTATCAACCTCCAACGAATTGACTCCCACACCAAAGAGCTTAGATTTATTAAGATTAAGATTAAGGCCCGACACCAAAAAGAAGCATCGCAAAATACGAATCAGATTCTGGATATTAGCCGCATCCCACTCTCCTAAGAAAATAGCATCATCTGCATAAAACAAGTGAGAAATAATAACATCATCAGATCCCAAATGAGCACCCCGGAACACCCCTTCTGCAACCGCATCCTCAACTGCAATATGAAGACCTTCCATAGCTATAATAAACAGAAAAGGAGAAAGAGGATCCCCTTGTCTAAGACCTCTGAAAAGTTGAAACTCATCTGTAGGACTTCCATTAATCAACACAGAAGATTTCGCAATTGAAAACATACCCCGAATCCACCCTCTCAATTTCTCACCAAACCCGAGAAACAAAAGAATCGTATCCAGATATTCCCAGCTCACCGAATCATACACCTTTTCAAAATCAACCTTAAACAACATAAGTTTTTTCTTCTTCTTCTTAAACCACTTGACCAACTCGTTCACCACCAAAGGACCATCCAAAATTTGCTTAGATTTAAGAAAAGCAGATTGTTCCATCCCTTTAACATCATGTATCACCGGAACTAACCTATTGGTCAACACTTTAGCAATAATCTTAAATTGCAGACCGATAAGACTAATAGGTCGATAATCATTAAAATGAATTGGATTATCAACTTTAGAGATCAGTGTAACAAACGACGAGTTACACCCCACCGGGAAATTCGGTTTATCAAAAAACTCTTGAACAAAAGCAATAACATCACCAGCAAGGATTTCCCAAAAGTGTCTAAGAAACCGAAAAGTAAAACCATCAGGACCAGGGGCACGGTCCACTCCACAATCCCAAACAAAATTTTTAATCTCATCATCCGTGAACACCACTTCAAGAGAAGAAGCAACTCTCGAATCAAGGGAATTGAATCTATGGCTTCTCCGATTCAAACTAATACCTCGGAAAGGCTCGAATTTTGCTGCATAGAAGTCATAAAAAGCCTTTTTCACCCTAGAAGGCTCCGAAACCCACTCCCCGTCAATAGACACACCTCTAATCATTAACTGACGTCTTCTTTTTTTCAATAAGGCATGAAAAAATGCAGAATTCTCATCACCCTCCACAGCCCATGTCGATCTAACCTTTTGCGCAACGTCAAGAGATCTAACTTTTTCTAGATTTGCCAAATCACAAAGAATACTTCTTCTCTCGAGAATAAGGTCACCATTAGAATGACCATCATCAATAGATTTATCAATATCTACCAGTCGACCTAATAATTGAGAAGTAGAAATTTGTGAAGCAGCCTTAGTTTCCGCATTCCAAGAACGAATCCTATTTTTAATAAACTTAAGTTTGTTTTTTAACGCAACAAACTTGCTCCAAGCTGGGTTACCAACAAACTCAGACACAGCCCCTTTCACCACATCTTCAAAGCCCGCCATAGAAAGCCAAGAATTAAAGAATTTAAACGAAGAAGGCCCATAATCAACGGTATTCGTATGCAACAAAATCGGACAATGATCAGACCACTTCCTATCTAACACTGAAACCTATAGTTGGTTAAACTTATCAAAGAACCCATCTGACACTAAGAATCGGTCTAGCTTGCTTAACTTAGTTCCGATTTTATCAACTCTAGTAAACCGCTTCCCCACCATAGGCACATCGATAAGACCATTCTCCTCAATAAAATCATTAAACGACATAGCTGAGCTAGGACAAAATACAGAGCCAAATCTTTCCGCCGCCTCTCTAACAACATTAAAATCCCCAAAGAAGACATAATTACCCCCATTCCTCCTCATAAAGGCCGAGAGGTATCCCCATAAATGTTGCTTTCCCACTAAATCTTGAGGAGCATAAATATTGACCATAAAACAATTAATATTAAATGGAATCCACAAGCCACCCACGGTAACCACATTACTAGTACATGTAACACTACTTTTAACAAACACATTTGGATCCCAAACTGAGAGAATACCCCCAGATCGTCCACGAGCACAACTGCTAGCAAAATCAAAACTATAATTACCCCACATACTACGAATCTTGAACAAATCAACTTGAGTCATTCTCGTTTCTTGCAAACCCAAAAAAGACACTCCAAACTGCAAACATAACGCCTTAACCCAACTTCTTTTTAAGAAAGTCCGGGTACCACAAATATTCAATGAAAGACAATTCATTGATCCATCTGTACCACACCAATACTAGACAAAATCTTTTTAACCCGATCCTTATTAGATTCAATATCATACCCAAGAAGGCCTCCCATTTCAAAATATTGCTTCAACACATCGTCAATATCATCAACCACTACTGGGACTTTTTTTTCACCAACTTAGAGGATCCAAAAGAAGAAGATGATTTCTTTCGCCGAAAACCAGGATGTTGCGAAAGGGATTCTGAAATCCTCTCACCCTCCACATCATCCACCGCATGTGTGGGTCCATTTGGCATCACATCCTCAGCCAACCTATCCGGAGAAACATCTCTATGCATTACCGGTTCACTTTGATTCACATCCGTACCAGGAGCGGCAGCAGCAACGAAAGAAGAAGAACCCCCATCCACTACCTCATTGCCCTTTCTTTTAATATTAGTTTGAAAAAACCCGCCTTTTCTATCCACAAACCCGACACCTCTATCCCCTTTACTATGCATGTTTTCTGTACTGAAAGAATCCCCATGCCCCTCATCCACCTTCTCACCATCTTTTACTTTAAGACCTTCAATCTCATCTTCATCAAAACATACATCTTCTTCCTCATCGCCTGACAAATCCGGAATATCTGAGTCAATATAACCTTCCTCCATCATATCCGGTTCCCAATTAGAAATTTCGCGCACTGTAACAACATATTCTATTCCTTGAGCCACCACCCTAATCTTATCATGAATTAAGGAAGACTTCACAGTTTTAATACACATGCGTTTTACCGCCAATGGAGCATTCTCATCTTCTTCAAGAAAGCAAACATCACCCCACATATTAGCTATTTTTTTTAATAGCAGCATCATTCCAAAAACAACAAGGTAGACCCAACATCTCTAACCAAATATCACGCTCTTTAACATAGAAGCCATTAACAACCGGTCTAAAAACTGAAAAATAAGACTTAACCCTTCACACTTCTTGAACCGAGTGCAAGTATTCTCGGATAGGAAAGAAATAAACACCCAATCACTAGCAACATATTTGATAACAATCTCAGGAAATCCTTCTTCTTTCAGAAGAATACACAGTTTTGGGATCAATCTGATATCTCTCAGCTTACCAAAAATTGAAGACCGCATGGACAAAGGATTGTCAAGCTCTGTTCCTTGTAAAAAGCACACACCAGAATCTAGTTTTTTCTTCACATTTATACCCGTATCTCCCTTAACTGCACTGGCATATGAACCAGTCTGGACATGAACATACACCTGAGACCTCCCCATCTGTTCATCAGTCTTAAATCGATTACCAAGCCCCTGAGAAACTGACCTGTTAACCTGCCCCTGTGAATTCGCCCCTCCATTAACAGCCCGATTAAACCGAGAAATCGAAGCAAATAAGTGATACGATCCCATCCAAATTTCCCAAAGTCTACGTTCCAATAATTGATCATCGCTAGCTCTAATGAATCGAACAAAAGCAAATCTCTTACCCAATTTTGATAGTTTCCGAGCCATATAAACATCAGCCACTGTCCCAATTTTAGCACAAACGTCCCACAAAGACTTGACATCGGCATTAGGAGGAAAATTTGTAACATAGAAGGAAAAAGAAAGGTTATCCACCAACCGATTATTACTTGGGGCATAGCGAGATCGAGAACCCTGCTCATTACCAACCATTGAAAACGACGACAGGAGAAGAGGAGAATCGGTGGCGTTTGGTCCCGCCGGAAATCGACGGAAATCGTCGAGGTTTTACCCTTTACCTTTTAAATAAAACTATTTTAGCATTTTTCACTTTGTTAAGCACTTATCACTACTTAATAATATAGGAGTGGTGTGTTTCTTCTATGTTTATTTTATTTTTTTTATTTTTTTGAACGACAAGTTGGCAATAACATTAAACTGAAAAACTAGCTAGGGGCTAGAGGTACAAAAACCATAAGAGAGTATGGATTGGACAAAAAAAACAACAGCTAACAACTAAGAAACATGACTACTTAAATCCTGCAATAACATTCTAGAATTGGATCACAGCACCACTCCGACCAACTAAATGTCTGTCCATTCAAATTTCGTGCATTGATCCATAAATAAGCCAGTGATTTCACTTCAAAAGCCAGCACCGAATGGGTTTTTGAACATGGAGTTGGAGCATGAGCTATTAGGTTTCTGTGATTCTATACTGCCCATAAATACACCAACATTATAGCTTCATGGAATTTGGATAACCTCTTATGACCTTCCAATTTCGCTTTACAATTTATCAGATCACAGGCCAAATTGAAAAAGCAGTCCAATAGTCGCCACCATTTACCTACCTGATGCTAAACACCTTTTGAGATTCGACATTCCACAAAAATATGATCCTCAGTTTCTGGAGCATCATTATAGGACCTGCATACATTAGAGTGACTGATACCGAATTTAAATAAGTTGACCATGGTTGGAAGTTTCCCATGACATATCCGCCAGGCTAGAATATTGAGTTTCCCAGGGACTAATGGATTCCAAGCCAATTTGCCATCACTTTGCGGAAGAGTTGAGCTATCTATAAAAATTCTACGAGAGGAAACAGTGTAAATCCTAGATGTATCTAGTGACTAGCCCTATCTAATTAAACCATCATTGCTGGATACCAGCTTGAAATGTTCTAAGAATGGCACATTTTCTTTTTCCAATCCTTTAGGGATGTTAACTATTGATCCCCAGCAACCGCTCCTTCTCTTTGCAACCGAGGGCCTGTGGAAACCACCATCATGACCATAAATGGATTTAATCACCTTATCCCACATACTATTGTTTGAGTTCTTAAATCTTCGCCACCATTTTCCCATTAATGCTATGTTTTGTGCCTTTAGACTGCCAATCCCAAGACCTCCCTTATCTTTAGTTGGAAGGGCTTTTTCCCATGCAATCCATACCATCTTCTTCGAATCCATATCACCTCCCCAGAAGAATCTCATTCTGATTTTCTCAAGACTCTTAATAACTTTAACTGGAGCTTTGAATAAAGAAAAATAGAAAGAACCGAGACTGCTTAACACATATTTGCACAACGTTAGTCGGCCACCAAACAACAAAGAGTTTGTTTTCCACTTTGATAACTTCGCCTGAAATTTTTCGACAATTGGGTTCCAATGTGTAGATCTTGCCATATATGCCCCCATTGGGAGTCCTATATAGATAAAGGGAAGTGAACCAACAGAGCAATTGAAGCTTCGAGCCACCAAATTCAATTCGCAACTTTGAACACCACAACCAAAAATCTTGCTTTTAGACATGTTCACCTTGAGTCCTGACGACAATTCGAAACATCTTAGGATTTTGATCAAGTTCTTTGCATTCTCAATCGACCAAGAGCCCATAAAAATCACATAGTCTGCATATTGATGATGTGATATAACTGGACCATCTCGAGGTATTTTAATGCCCTGAAATAAACCCTTTTCTTTTGCCATTTCCATCGCCAAATGAAGTACCTCAGATGCAATAATAAATAGGAATGGAGATAAGGGGTCCCCCTGTCTAACCCATCGTTCCATGCCAAATTCTGATGTTGCAGATCCATTTATGAGCACTAAAACTCTTACAGAAGAGAGGCATCCTAGAATCCACCTTCTAAATTTAATCCTAAACTCCATTTGTTGCAGCACCGAGTATAGATACTCCTAGCTAAGGCTATCAAATGCCTTCTTGAAGTCGACCTTAAATGTAAATGCCTTCCTTTTAGTTTTCTTGAACCAAGCGATTACCTTATTTAGTATAAGAGGGCCGTCAAGTATATTTCTGTTTTTGATAAACGCAGTCTGAACTGGGCTTACCACTAAATGAACCACCTTCTTTAACCGCTCAACCAAGACCTTTGCAACCGTTATATATAAGCATCCTATTAAACTGATGGGACGGAAGTCATTGATAGTGATTGGATCCTGAACCTTGGGAACAAGAGTAAGAAAGGAGGAGTTACATCCATTATCAATCTGCTCTGTTGCTTCAAAGTTTTTAGCTGCAAAGTTAAAGTCACCCCTATCACCTCCCATTGTTTCTTTAACAGGGCAAAGGTGAAGCCATCGGGGCCCGACGCCCTATCAGAACCACAAGCCTAGATAGCCGATTTTATTTCATCGTGCATGAATGGTTCCTCTAAAACCTCATCCATATAGGATAGTAATTTATTGAAACTGGGGAAGATTAAGTTAGGTCTTGATTTGATTGGTTTAGCGAATCTACCATAGAAATGGTTGACCGCCACCTCTTTAATTGCCTCAGGATCACTAATCCAAATCCCATTGTCCTTAAGCCCATTTATCCTTTGTGACCTGTGATGCTTATTTATCAATCCATGAAAAAAACTGCTATTTTCGTCCCCTTCTAAGGCCCATATGATTCTGGACTTTTTCTTTAGGTCTTCAATACGCAGGGATTCAATCTTCATAATCTCTTGATAAGCATTTTGACGGCTCATCCTTTGTTCGTCATTGATCTGATATTTTTCAGCTTGGATGTCTATAGAATTGATTTTATTTGTAAGCTTAATCACATTCTTTTGGTTCTTCTCCATAATTCCTTTCCTCCAAGATTTAATAAATTCCTTCAAGTTCTTTAGTGTTCCAACCACAAGAGAGAGAGGAGAGATATGCAGACATAAGTCAGGACCATGGCGAGAAGTCCACCCTCTTTTTAATACAGCTTCAAAGTCAGGCTCTTTCAACCATGAACTAAAAAATCGGAAAGTGTATCGTCCAAAGTCGAGGTAATTAGAGGAAAGGATAATAGCACAGTGATCCGAATGTAACCTAGGTAGGGCGAGGACATTTAGTTGTGGCCAGGTATCGATTACATTTCTGGAGACTAGATATCTATCAAGTTTGCTATGCTTCTCACCTGATGTGATCATGTAAGTAAATCTGCGACCACCCATTTTTATTTCTATTAGACCTAGGGAATGGATGAATTTATTGAAGTAAAATGCAGTACTTGGATAAAAGACCGAGCCCATCCTTTCTTCTGGGACACGAACTGCATTGAAGTCCCCAAAAACAAACCAATAACATTCCATGTCTGCATTAATAAGATCAAAGAGGTTATTCCATAGGATCTTTTTCTTATTTGGGTCATTCGGAGCATATACATTGATAAAACAACATTCTTTCTTTAGCCTGCGCCACTGACCTCTAATAGCTAAAAATCCAACACCTTTAATTGTTTTGTATGCTTCAAAAAGGGTAGGATCCCATAAGGAAGCAATTCCACCCGATAAACCCAAAGGATCAACAATTTCACACTAAAAATTGGAGGAACCCCATATATATTTGTCCAAACATCCTTTTACCTCAGTCGATTTAGTTTCTTGTAATCCAACAAAAAATGAATGATTATGGATACGAGCTTCCTTCAACCAACTCCTTTTGCTTTCACACCCAATCCCACGAATGTTGTTGGATAGTATATTCATTATTCCAAAATTGTTACTCCCCGTTTGCTAATCTTTTCCTTGAGCTGCTTTGATCTGTTGTTGACTTGAAATCCCGCTTTCACCCCGAACTCGACTATTTTAGCAACTTCCCTGGCTGTAGAGGTGGAATTCGATTCTGTGGATTGAGTTTGAGGGTCTTCCAAGGGGGATTGTCGGGGTACAAAATTTACACGAGGAGGCTCCATGGAGGGTGATGACCCCAAGTTGGAGTTTGTGTGATGATCCAGGTTAGAACGCACAGCAGGAGGCGTCCTTCTCTCAGCATAGAGGAGCATGTCTTGGATTGTGGCCCAATGACTTTGAGTTTGAGGTCGCGCTTGACGGTTGACCTAATTCGTTCCTTCGAGGCGTTGTATTATTCAACCAATGGTCATCATTTTTGGAGAATCGAGGGGACTCCTCGGGACCATGTATGGAATTACTCACATCCGTCTCTTCATCTTCCCAAAGTTGATTCCGGAGGGGATTCTCCGGTGACAGTTCCAACAATGCGCACCCATCAATTGACGTCGAGACTAGCAACATCACCCTCATCATTCCACCATGCCATACTTGAGCTGAAATCGTTGGAAGCGAGAATAGGACTGAGTTTGAGGGATTGAAATATATCTTCTACGATGTTGATAACATATTGAACATTTAATATATATTTAGTAGTCAATTAATTAGGACCATTTAATCCATTTTAATTCAATGGTCTTTCATTTTATCCTTTTAACTATATATTTTAATTAATTAATTAATTAATTAACTTTATTAAATATTTAATAAATACATATGTAACGTTTTGAGTTCCAACATAAGTTTAACATTATGAGTTATATCATACGTATTAAAATGTTATGTTTTTAAAAAACTGACAAACTAACTGATGGGTTTTTTAGTTTTAATATTTTAGATAAATAGACATAAATTATTTAAATTCATAAAAAAAAGTTATAGGAAAAAAATAACCATTGAGTTATTGAATATGTTTAATATTAGAGATGCTCTTAAGATATATATTCTTTTAAGGATATAGACGGGTGTAAACACATGTACAATGATATTTAGCTTAAAATTTACCATAAAGTGCTTCTTTGACATAAACGAACATATTTTATTTTATTTTTTATTTTTAAAGAAAAAAATAATTACATATTACAACATTACATTATTTAAAAAATAATAATAATAAACATATCAAGATGTTAATTTTCTT